AAAAAAAAAAAAAAAAAAAAAGTCACATTGGGTGGGCACGGTGGCTCACACCTGTAATCCCAGCACTTTGGAAGGCCGAGGCAGGCGATCGCCTGACATCAGGAGTTCAAGACCAGCCTGCCAACATGGCGAAACCCCAGCTCTATTAAAAATACAAACATTAGCTGGGCATGCTGGTCAGCGCCTGTAGTCCCAGCTATTTCGGAGGCTGAGGCAGGAGAATCGCTTGAACCCGAGAGGCAGAGGATGCAGTGAGCCAAGATTGTGCCATTGCACTCCAGCTTTGGTGACAGAGCAAGAGTCTGTCTCAAAAAAAAAAAAAAAAAAAAAAAAAAGGTCACATTGACTTAGTAGCTGTTCATGGAGCCCTCTGAGGCAGCCAGCGGGGTGACAGATAGCCACTCTGTTTATCTGAGCAAATCTTGCCCACAGAGAAATCCACTCCCCACACATTAACATTACATACATATAATGACAAAACACTTGAATGACTTTATACTTCATACAATGTGTCTAGTAATGTAATATGCATAAAGACACAGTTATATTCATGAGATTGACGGTGGGGCATAACTTATAAACAGCAAACTGAAGCACAAACAAGTGGCAATGTTTGTTTTTTGGCTTCCAACATTTACAAAAATCCTTTTCCTTCATTTTGATGGTGAAAGGCCTAATAAATGTACTGCAACACAATAAAACATCTCTTACAAAAACTGAAGATTCCTGGAATAACTTGGAAATTAAAGAAAAACACATTTAGGAAGATGGACCAGCCCAGCCAGAAAACAGGCCAAGACTTTCTATAACTGCCAAGCCATTGTGGAGCAGGGCATGCTCTCTAGCTTGGGCAAAAAAAAGGATGGGAAGACATCCTGGAAGGGAGCTCAACTCTGCTCCCCCAACCAAGCTCCCTGCTGGAAGTTCACAGACGCTGTGTGTGCCTCCAAGGCCCAGATGAGATGCCCTGTCCAGGGGAATGGAAGAGTCTCGCCTGATCCACGCCCTCTTGGACAAACACCTTATCAATTCTATGAGAACACTTCTGCCTCTACTAAGCGCACTCGATAGCATCTAGGCCTGAGCATCACACCTAATCCCCAACCCTTGGGAGAGGCCCCCACAAAACCCCTCAGAAAAATAAAAACAAGGAGCAACAGTCACAGGTCTCTCTAAGGTGGCAGTGGACTATGGAGATGACAGACTCCATTCCTGCTTGCCCACCACCCTCACAGGACTACTTGTGCCTACCTGGAGGAAGAGGGGGCTTGTGTGACATGCCTGGTCCCAAAAGTCTCCCTGATGCCAGCCAACCCATGCCTTGGCCTCTCAGGTAATGTGAAATAGCTAAATGGCTGGGTGGAGAAAAAGCAGGGGTCGTAGGGAAGTTTGGGCATTGGCTGGGGAATTGGTGCAGTGAGGTCCACGCCTGTGCGCCTCATCAGTCACTCTTCAACATTGAGGGAAACCAGGAATTAAGCACAATTACAAGAAGAGAAGGCAGCCGGAATCGAGACAGAAAGACGGTGGAGAGGTCTTGGTCTTACCCTGCAACCAATTGCTCATCGGTTGGAGGACATGGCTCGCTGAAATGGGAACAGGACCATCAAGACCAAACAAAAACATATCGCTTTTTTAAAAACCATGAAAAGGTACAAGGCTGTTTTATAAAAACTGTATTAAAGTCTAGCAGAAGTGCCACCATTAAGCATTAACTTTTGAGCATCAAGACTGAGCAACTTACCAGACAAGAAACAGGATCACACACTCCCCATGCTGAACACTTAAACCATGGGGTTTTCTCACTAAAGGTCTGATTCTCACACAGAAGTACAGGCTGGGCAGGAATGAAAGTTGTTTTTCAGAAGCAAGCACAAGGCTGGAATTGCTGGGTCAGACCCCAGCACCATACGTATGAGATGGATCCCTGTGCACAAGTACCTAATCTTTTTTTTTCTTCAAAAGAGATGGGGTCTCACAATGTTACCCAGGCGGGTCTAATACTCCGGGGCTCAAGCAATCCTCCCGCCTCCGCCTCCCACAGTGCTGGGGTTACAGGAGTGAGCCACCACGCACAGCCTAAAGCTAATCCTTTCATTAATAGTTTGATGATGCATGATGAGAAGTCATCTACATAGGATCAGATAAGACCCCAGAAGCAAAAGTCTTCTGAAAACTGTAGTGTGTCATATGAATTCCATCAGCTCCAATTCTGGAGATACTGCGACTGCCAGCACAGCTGACTTCCCTAAGCCTGGAGCAATTAGGTGATCATGGTAGATCCATATATATGTCAAAAAACATCCAAGCTTCTGCACTATCTCAGTTGAGATTTTTTTTTTTTTTTTTTTTTTTTGAGACAGAGTCTTGCTGTGTCCCCAGGCTGGAGCGCAGTGGCATGATCTTGGCTCCCTGCAACCTCCGCCTCCTGAGTTCAAGTGATTCTCCTGCCTCAGCCTCCCAAGTAGCTGGGACTACAGGCACGTGCCACCATACCCAGCTAATTTTTGTATTTTTAGTAGAGACGGGGTTTCACCATGTTGGCCAGGCTGGTCTCAAACTCCTGACCTCGTGATCCCCCCACCTTAGCCTACCAAAGTGCTGCGATTACAGGTGTGAGCCACCGCACCCAGCCAAGATTTTTATAAAGAGTTTAAGAGCTTATTTTCTGGCCACGTGTGGTGGCTCATGCCTGTAATCCCAGCACTTTGGGAGGCCAAGGTGGGTGGATTGCTTGAGGTCAGGAGTTCAAGAGCAGACTGACAATGTGGTAAAATCCTGCCTCTACTAAAAAAAAAAAAAATTGCTGGTCATGGTGTTGTGTGCCTGTAATCCCAGCTACTCAGAAGGCTGAGGCAGGAGAAAAGCTTGAACCCAGGAGGTGAAGGTTGCAGTGAGCCAAGATGGCGCCACTGCATGCAAGCCTTGGATGACAGAGTGAAACTCCATCTCAACAACAACAAAAAATTCTATTTTCTTCTGCAGAGATTTGTGTTCTGGGACATACTGTTTTCCATGTATCATGGAAAGAGAAAGGAGACCTGAATCAAGAAGTGGAAACAATTGGGAGCTCTGCCATGACAGAACCTGAACATGACCCTGAACCTGCACTCACCCCTGTACACTGCCCTGCAGCATGGATGCAATGGCTGGGCACGGGGAGATGCCAAAGCCTGCAGACAAAAATGCCTACCATCTTGTGTGTCAACCTCAGCTACAGAAAGGAGAGTGCATCTTTCTAATACATCAATGTAGCGCTCTAAACACATAAGCTAATAATAGAGGCAAAGCTACCAAGAGAGGCCCTGGTAGAGCCTCATATGTCCCTGGTGGGAGGACCTGAATGTTGTCAGCTGGAGAGTACCTGCCTGGCTGAGGATCCCATCTGACCTAGGCCCAAGTGCACTCACAAGTTGGGTCCACTGCTATGGAAGTGGCCAAGCTTGAGGATAGTAGCAGTGCCACCTGATTCAACATCCCCAAGATGTCACCTGAGAGTTAAAGGGTAGAGATGGAAGCTGGGTGCGGTGGCTCCCAGCACATTGGTAGGCCAAGGTGGAAGGATCACTTAAGCCCGGGAGTTCGATCACCTGAGGTCATGGTTCTCCATGTTGGCTGAGCTCGAGACCAGCCTGGCCAACATGGAGAAACCCTGTCTCTTAAAAAAAAAAAAATTATAAAATGATTTCAGAGCATTTTGAAAATGAAAGAAATCAATTCTTCTCTAAACCTGTAGCTCCCCATTCTCTGCGGTAATGGCCTAAGTACTGCTCACAGTTTCAAAGGAGGGAGCAGGAAGATGGTGTCCATACGGAGAAGGACATGCCCACGCCAACCTTTCTGATGGACACTAGGCTATCTCTCAAACCTGGCTTGATGGCTTCTGCCCCTACCAGTAGTAGAGACACATGGTACACACCTCCCAGAGTTTTACCTCTTCATTATGCTAAATATTAAATTAATTCCCTAGAAAATATCCTCATGGTCATATTATCATAAGTCTCTGAAAACTAACTGCAGGAATTAGGTACTGCCAGCCCTTCTTCTGGGCAGAGTTTGTTCCACCATCACATTTAAAGGACAAGAAAACCACAGGCCTCTACATCAAAATGACGGTCCACTGGGGTGTCCAACAAGCCCTGTCCCTCTTCCAAAGCCCACTCCCCTCAGAGACATGCCAGAAGCCCCAAGATCCTCCCAGAAGAGGATAAAAATCATACTCGTGGCTGGGCTTGGTGGCTCATGTCTGTAATCCCAGCACTTTGACAGGCCAAGGCAGGTGGATCATGAGGCCAGGAGATCAAGACCATCCTGGCCATGGTGAATCCCTGTCTCTACTAAAATACAAAAAATTAGCCAGGCATGGTGGCGCATGCTTGTAGTCCCAGCTACTCAGGAGGCTAAGGCAGGGGAACCACTTAAATCCTGGAGACGGAGGTTGCAGTGAGCCGAGACTGTACCACTGCACTCCAGCCTGGCAAAAGAGCAAGACTCCATCTCAGAAAAAAAAAAAAAATCACACTCTTAGAACCGAAAATTGTTGTCAGGCATGGTGGCTTATGTATGTAATCCCGGTTATTTGGGAGGCCAATGAAGGAAGATCATTTGAGGCCAGGAGCTCAAGGCCAGCCTGTGCAACAAAGCAAGACCCCAACTCTACAATCAATAAATTTTTTTTAAAAAAGAACTGCAAATTGTCATGGTGGGTGTGGTGCTGCCTTGTCAGAGAACTGCAGAGAAACAGCACTAACTCAATGCACAGCAAAGGCCCAGCATAGGGATCTTAGTTTTTTTTTCCTGGGACTGCGGAGGCCAAGTCCTTTACTCCACACAGGACTTGTCTGTGTTTAAGGGAACCCAGGGAAGGTAACTCATAATCTTCCCTCCTTCACCTGGGCCTATACTACCATGTACTAAGCTTCAAAATGAACAGAAGGCAGAAGTGGTCATTTCTAAAGTTTCTCCCCTGGTAGTGCCTCCCAGAGAGAGCAGGGGGAAACACAGGAAGGAACAGGATCCACCTTTCATCTGTGCCTAAAAGAACATCGAGGTTCACACCGTCCCAGCTCTAAGCCCCACTGACCGTTTCACCACCTGAGCCTGGACACCCAGAAGGGACCTGACCAAACTATGCTACACCCAGGCACCTGCATATGACCTCTGGATACATGCTCAAGCAATTAGATCCAAAGACAACATAGGGGTCTGCTTTCCTCTATGTCTCTTTCACAGGAGATAAACATCTCGCATGGACATGGCCTCATCTGTTCTCTGAGACCTGCTTTACCCACCAGACAAGGCTGAAGCTGGAACAGGTACCCAAATTATTCAGCAAGTCCAAGACTGTCTACGCAATCCTCCATTCTACACTACCTGAAAGCAACCACTAAATGAAAAAAAAAAAACCACCAGATTTCTCAGGGAGGAAATATCTGTATCTACCTAGGTCAACAGGAGGGTGGGGCTTTGCCCAGGCCTAGGACCAGGACAAGCCCCATCCTGAAATGACCACAGAGCCCTTACCTGGAATCGCCATCCTGGTCATCAGCATGGTCGCCAGTGTTGTTAACAGCATATCGGCTGCGTGGCTTATCTGAGTGAGGGCAAAAAGGGGAGAAGGGCTGAGAAAACAGGATCCTTCCACATACAGGAGGGTTGCGGAACCATTAAACGCCATGTTTTCCTGCCTTAAGCAGCTGGTGAAAGAAATCAAAACAAACAAATAAATAAATAAAAATAAAAATAAATAAAGCCATGTTTTCCAAAACATGGTCTATCCACATGGACTATTACTCAGACATAAAAAGGAATGAACATGGATGAACCTTGACAACATTATGCTGAACAAGCCAGAGACAAAAGGACAAAGTGCACACACAGTATATGAAATGCCTAGAACAGGCAAATTCATCAAGACAGAAGGTAATTTAGAGGTTCGCAGGGGCTGGGAGCAGCGGAAATGAGTTATTGGTCAGTGGTTACGGAGTTTCAGTTTGGGTGATGAAAAAGTTTTAGAAACAGATAGCAGTAATGGCTGCATAATATAATGAATGTAATTAATGCCACTTAACTACACAAGTAAAAATCATTAAGATGACAAATCTTATGTTATCTTCAAAAACAGTGACAGGTCAGGCATGGTGGCTTATGCGTGTAATCCCAGCACTTTGGGAGGCTGAGGCAGGCGGATCGCCTGAGGTCAGGAGTTCAAGACCAGCCTGGTCAACATGGTGAAACCCCATCTCTACTAAAAATACAAAAATTAGCAGGGAATGGTAGGGGGCACCTATAATCCCAGCTACTCAGGAGGTTGAGGCCGGAGAATCACTTGAACCCAGGAGGCAAAGGTTGCAATGAGCAGAGATCACGCCACTGCACTCCAGTCTGGGCAACAGAGTGAGACTCTGCCTCAAAAAAAAAAAAAAAGGCCGGGCGCGGTGGCTCAAGCCTGTAATCCCAGCACTTTGGGAGGCCGAGGCGGGTGGATCACGAGGTCAAGAGATC